CTGTTACACGATATATTGTTTCGCCTCCACAAAATAAAAGTAAAGCAAGTCGATCACAAAATAAACAATGGTGATCCATTTGCTTTACTTTTATTTTGGGAAGGCGAAACAATATATCGTGTAACAGAACTCAATGAAACCATACAAAGTGGAACTTACCATTGAGTTCTGTTCCAAAATATATTGTTTCGCCTCCCCAAAATAGCAGTAAAGCAAGTCGATCACAAAATAAACAATGGTGATCCATTTGATTTACTTTTATTTTGGGAAGGCGAAACAATATATCGTGTAACAGAACTCAATGAAACCATACAAAGTGGAACTTACCATTGAGTTCTGTTCCAACATATTTTGTTTCGCCTCCCCAAAATAACAGTAAAGCAAGTCGATCACCATTGTAAACAATGGTGATAGACTTGTTTACTGTTATTTTGTGGAGGCGAAACAATATACGGTGGAAGAGAAACACAATGGTAAGTTCTACTTTGTATCTTTTTGTCTCTCAATTTAATAATAAAGCAAGCTGATCGCCACTAATATCACTATCATACACTTGCAATATTCTTATTTTTGGGAGACTAAACTATATATCCTGGAAGTGAATCATGGTCACTCATCTATATATAATGCGGTCGACCAACATATAGTCATCAGGATATTTTAAACATAAAAAGTAAATGCTTAAACATGTTCATAGAACATCTGTAGAGAACACAGTTTTTAGGATTTTCTAATGGACAAAACAACTTACAAATATTTAAGGAACCATTATTTAACATATCAAAAAATATTAATATTCAAAAATATTTTTAAATAAGTTGCACAAGAAGAACCTCAACGTCAATACAATGACGCACTCTCAACATGCATTACAAAGTTTGAAGATATAACTGTGTTGAAATAGGAGAGGAGACACTTGCACATTCAAACTTCTCTTTAGGGTAGGATTTGTAATGGACAAATATTTTTTGCCCAACTACATGGACAATTATCTGATCTGTGCTCTCCATTCTCCTTGTCGCAATGTCATTTATTTGTATAATGGTTTTGTGTAAAGGTTGGTTCCATATTTATAGTAATAGTATACTACATATACAAGGAAACCCTAATAAATAGAATTCCAAAAGCAAACTAGATATGCAAGGAAACCCTAATAAATAGAATGTACGGTATTAGTAGGTACATATATTCTAGATATATTAAGAATTAAGAAGTACTACATATATAATGTAGATATGTGACAAAACCCTAATAGATAGAATCCAAAAGTTAGCACATGGAAACCCTTATATAATAAATAGAATATAAAGCATATATTAGTATATTCTAGATTCTAGATAGAATATATTAAGAATTAAGAAGTATATTCTTCTTCTAAATGTTCAAGGTAATCCAAAAGTTAACCCATGAAAACCCTGATAGATAGAATCCAAAAGTTAGCCCATGGAAACCGTTATATAATAAATAGAATATACGGCATATATTAGTATATCATAGATTGAATATATTAAGAATTAAGAAATATATTCTAGTAATAAATATTCAAGGTAATCCATATATTTTTCCAAGTAAACTAGAAAGAATCGGGGTAGTAATGATATCCTAGATATAATTTATTAAAAATAAAAACTAAATAAAAATCTATACAAGTAAAATCCTTGCATTTTTGTTTATGTGCAATATAAGTTGCTTTCCACTTATAATGTTGTAGATATACGATATATATACTGTGATGTGAAGAGGTGACCGTTGAGATATTGATAGGTGATTGGTTGAGGAAGAGGAACCGTTGGGTTTTCACTCAGCTGGTTGAGGTGCATTTAATTCACCTCTAAAATTAAAACTCACCTAAAAATATCAATTTACCTACTAGAACCAAAACTTGATAGCTTTTGGTTGAGGAAGAGGTGACAGTTGGGTTTTAACTCTGGAGGTTGAGCTTCATTGAATTTTCACCTATAAAAATTAAAAATTCACCTACAAAATTAAATTTACCCACTGAGATCGTCCAAAACTTAGTTGACTAGGAGGTGACAGCTGGGTTCTAAGTAAGGAGGTTAAAGTGAGCATCGAATTCACCTATAACAGTTTGCCGACCAAAGCTTAGTCGACAAACGCATGGTCGACCAAAGCATGTGTGTCTTTGAAATTAATTTTAATAGTTATATATTTAAATACTTTTTATAAAACGGTAAATATATATTAAACACAAGGTCCTGCAAATCATTTATTTAGTAATTAATTAAATAGTAGTTTTCGGTTTTTTGGAAATCGATTATTACGGATGGCATGCTATGGTCCTGTAAGGCTCTAATCAGGAAACATCTACGGGATTTGTTTCTCATACGTACTTATATTTCTTGTGTTAAAATTGTGTTACTAAAGAAGTACAGAGTATTGAGTAAAGAATGATTGTGTTACTTTTTATCAACAATTTAGTCGACCTAATTTTTTTAATCGTCCGAATCTTTAATCTTAAATATATTTAAATATATGCATAACTACACCAATATATGTTGAAAAGTTTATAATATTATATTCAAGTAAACTCGAATATTATATTATCAATGTTTATGCATTGACAATATTTATATTTAAGAAAAGTCCAAAATTTATAATATTATATTAAGTAAACTCCAAAATAAATATTTTCAACACCATTAACACGATTTATTTTTTAAAAATAGTTAACTATTTGGGATTATTTCGGCGTACTGCTATAGGTGAATTCTATGATAATATTTTTTATTATTTTCTTAATTACATTCATTCCATGATTTAAAAGTATTGCACCATCTTTCACGTGATTGTCGTATCAATTAAACATTTAAACTCTAAACCCTAATACCACAGTATTAAGGATATTGAACATCGGGTTTTGTGATTGGTTGAGGAAGAGGTGACCGTTGGGTTTTAACTCCGGTGGTTGAGGTGCATTGAATCCTACTATAAAAATTAAATTTCCTACTCCTGTTTTAAATGTTGGTCTATACTATCTTTAGAATGAGATATATTTCTTAATTCTGAATATATTCCATCTATAATATACTAATATATGCCGTAAATTCTATTTATTATATAACGGTTTCCATGGGCTAACTTTTGGATTCTATCTATTAGGGTTTTCATGGGTTAACTTTTGGATTACCTTGAACATCTAGAAGAAGAATATATTTCTTAATTCTTAATATATTCTATCTAGAATCTAGAATATACTAATATAAGCTTTATATTCTATTTATTATATAAGGGTTTCCATGTGCTAACTTTTGGATTCTATCTATTAGGGTTTTGTCACAAATCTACATTATATACGTGGTACTTCTTAATTCTTAATATATCTAGAATATATATACCAACTAATACCGTACATTCTATTTATTAGGGTTTCCTTGCATATCTAGTTTACTTTTGGAATTCTATTTATTAGGGTTTCCTTGTATATGTAGTATACTATTACTATAAATATGGAACCAACCTTTACACAAAACCATTATACAAATAAATGACATCGCGACAAGGAGAATGGAGAGCACAGATCAGATAATTGTCCATGTAGTTGGGCAAAAAATATTCGTCCATTACAAATCCTACCCTAAAGAGAAGTTTGAATATGCAAGTGTCTCCTCTCCTATTTCAACACAGTTATATCTTCAAACTTGGTAATGCATGTCGAATGTCAAATTTACATACAATAAAATATGATCTATCAGCTAGCATTATGGAGATTATGCACATTATTTACAGTGAACATTACAAATCAGAATTAAAAATGTCCATTACAAATAGTTAAAAATGTTCAATAAAGAGAGCAAATCTTTGTAACTCGACCAAAACATAGTCAAACCGAATGTTGTCAAAGACCTCATGGTGGACCTTCTATTGTAAGAAAAACCCCAAAAAGGAACAAAACCTGTCGAACATATCTTGACAGTGATCAGTACATATTTCCTAGACCTTAGCAGACATATTTCCCATGGAGATTAAGCAAAAAATATTCGTCCATTACAAATCTGTTCCCTGAAATGACTAAGAAGTTTTAATAGATGCAGCCATGCAGGTCTTTCCAATTTAAAAACAGGTGCATCTTCAAACTCTGTAATGCACCTTCAGATGACGTCATGGTTTTTGAGGTCGAGGTTTTTCTGGTAGCAACTTATGTTGATCGACTAGATTGTTATTGCGGTCACAATGAGTTCAGTTGTAGGATGTATTGTTTCCCCTCCCAAAAATAAGAGTAAAGCAAGTCGATCACCGTGATATTAGTGGCTATCAGCTTGCTTTATTGTTAAATTGAGAGACAAAAAGATACAAAGTAGAACTTACCATTGTGTTTCTCTTCCACCGTATATTGTTTCTCCTCCACAAAATAACAGTAAACAAGTCTATCACCATTGTTTACAATGGTGATCGACTTGCTTTACAGTTATTTTGGGTAGGCGAAACAATTTTTTGTGGAACAGAACTCAATGGTAAGTTCCACTTTATATGGTTTCATTGAGTTCTGTTACATGATATATTGTTTCGCCTTCCCAAAATAAAAGTAAAACAAATGGATCACCATTGTTTATTTTGTGATCGACTTGCTTTACTTTTATTTTGTGGAGGCGAAACAATATATCGTGTAACAGAACTCTATGGTAAGTTCCACTTTGTATCGTTTCATTGAGTTCTGTTCCACTATATATTGTTTCGCCTCCACAAAATAAAAGTAAAGCAAGTCGATCACAAAATAAACAATGGTGATCCATTTGCTTTACTTTTATTTTGGGAAGGCGAAACAATATATCGTGTAACAGAACTCAATGAAACCATACAAAGTGGAACTTACCATTGAGTTCTGTTCCAGAATATATTGTTTCGCCTCCTTAAAATAGCAGTAAAGCAAGTCGATCACAAAATAAACAATGGTGATCCATTTGCTTTACTTTTATTTTGGGAAGTCGAAATAATATATCGTGTAACACAACTCAATGAAACCATAGAAAGTGGAACTTACCATTGAGTTCTGTTCCAAAATATATTGTTTCCCTTCCCCCAAAATAACATAGCGCTAATTCTAGTAGCTAGGGACGAAGATATAGTTTTGCAGTAAACAGGGTTTTGCGGTTCAGGATGTATTGGTTCTCTGAAATGTCCTCTTTTGTTTCTCTCAATTTTAAACCCACTATCCGTATGAGCGTTCTAAGGTAGCTCATACTTTAAAATTGCATAAAGTTGCTGTTACAGTTATCAGTTGTACTAATACTACATTATTGAATGGATTTTATTCTCGAATAGTTTTGTTTCGGAAATGGTGTTGATTAACGCTCTTTGCATTCTGTGAATTGGGAATTACATCCTTCATTTACAAATGGTGTTTCCATTTTTTTGAATCCCTGAAAGTTCTCCTCATTTCCTTGTAAGGGAAGATCTATGTGGTTGATTTTGATTCCTTTAATTCTAAAAATCTTACCACACAACTCCAGTTTCTTAATTTTCATGTAAAAAGTAAATGAAAAGAACATTCGGGGATATAGGGACTAGGTGAGAATTAAGTGCTTGCAATTTTCATGATTTTTCTTTGGAAAATGGAAGTTTTGAGAACTCTGCAACAGGAAACAGAAAATAGAAATGTGAAGATGGGATGTAGACACATATGGAGTTGCACATGCCACATGTAGAAGCCTTCCATCTGTGCACTGATGAATCTTTCCATCAGTAACAATATGTTTGAATTTTTATGTTCTTTCACTGTCAGGTAATCCTTCACTACTACATTGAGCGGCAGTGTTTATTGAAGTGCACAAGACAGATCCTTACACTTGCTTGTAGGTATTCCACTTGATATGCAAATGTCTTTTATTTTCTCTAAAAGTTTCACGACAACTCTGATTATAGGTCTTTTGAAAAATGTCTGTTCAAACATGTCGGAAATCTGTTAACGTCAGTTGCTATCACATTGACTGTTTAATAAAATGACATCATACCCATTTGGTTGATCATTGCTATTGCTTGAGAAAACAATGACAAACCCGTAACTGTTCCTTTCTGTGGAGGTCCTCTTGGCTTGAAATTATGTAAGTATTTAGTGTATATAACTATATATTTTCATATATATGGTAAACTGGTAACTGCATGATTACCTCGGTTCTGGCATCTTGTCCCCCATCACACCTACACACCCACTCAGATCTTCGAGTGCTTGATGTCCAACATATGACTACCCTAAGCTATATGATAAGCTTCTCTTGGTGATCTTGTTGTCTGCAAGGTATAGGAAAATGTCATCTTGTTTTGGGTCCTACTAATTCTAGTGCCTCCAATGCAGTATGTTTTGAAACAAAACCTAAAGAAAGATCTGGTTTTGTGGACGCGGCACATAAGTTAATATCTGATGGACTAGAGACTAAAGGGATATTTACTCTAGAGGACAATCTGATGTTGAACTTTCCAGAGTCGATGGTATGTTAAATTTTAATCTTGAAGTTCGAAGTTTAGATAGTTTGCCTGGCAATTTTTTAACAAACACATAAATTTGATGGCAATTAATTTTTCCCTATTGATCCCTATTGATTTTTCTTTGTTGATTTGGTATTGGCAATTGTATATTGTATAAGAGTTTTGAGATAATATTCTAATTGGTGTGATGATCCATTCTGCCATGTTTCTCAGGAAATTGATTTCTACACTTTATGGGCTGAAGAGATACTTACCGAGAATAATCTGATCTTGGACATCCCTTTTCTTATATTTTATGAGTTCTGCACGTGCAATGGCAAGCAATGGAGGAAATTATGTTTGCTTTATGAGGTATCTCACGACTCAACCCTCAAGAAGTGGTGGTAATCCTTGTGTTTAGTTGCTTACTGTGCATTTTAATTGCTGTTTGTTGCAGGGTATAATTTTGGGTTCCTATAATTTTGGGAGGTTAGCTATATCAGCAGAATCATTATCTTCAATTAGTCATTCCAAAGTACAGTTGCTGCTTATTCTCATAGAAACTTTGAACCTGGAAAATCTTCTTCAAATGGTTCATGATGAAATTTCATTCAGGTTATATATAGTTTTATTCATCCCTTTCTATTTTATGCTTCTGATTTCTATGTTTATCTTAAGGAATGTCTGGGGGTTATGTCTGAGTTTGTTTCCTCGAAGTATAATAAATTGAACTACCTAAAATTTCAATATGCATAGTTGTTATCTTATACTCGTAGGATTTTAGGGAGGGCAGATGTTGACATGCAATTGCACAGTTTCTTGATAGACAGATAATACAATTTATATAGAGACTTTCTAATCTATTCAAGGTAAGATTCTATATAAAATATGTTACAATAAGTGCTGAAGATCAGATTCGACTCTATATGAAATATGGAGTATATTATAATTAATGTTGTAGATTAAGTTGATTCAGATTTCCTTCTATAATTTTTAGTAAAAGTGTGTTCGTGTGTAACTCTTCTATAAATCCTCTTAGGTTCTTTATCAATTTCATGTAATGGTTTTGTTATGATCTCAAATGCTCTTGCTTTTTCTTAGATTAGATATATTGGTTAAGATGAAGGTGTACTTGATAAGCAATTTGAGTTGTATCTTAATACAGAAAAAAGAACAGATTTTGTAATCTAGCTTGAAGGTGAGACTTTGGTCGATTCTTATCTAACTCCTGCCACATGTTGGCATGTTGCTCATTTACTTGCCTCTGTTCATTTCGTTCTAGACTTAATTTTTTAGGGTAATATTTCATTTGAATTATTTCTGAGTGACGCCCTTAATAGAATTCCATTGCTCATGCTCTAAACTCTTTTATTTATTGAGTTCATCTTTTTTCTCAGGGAGGGGTTTGCTGCATTTTCTTTAAATGATGTTCTAGAAATTGATAACGTTATATCTAGTCTCAATGCTTTTGAAAAGAAAGAAGCTGGTCCATTGATTCTAGCATGGGCAGTATTTCTTTGTCTTGTTTCCTCACTTCCAGAAAAGGAGGGAAATAATGTACTGATGGTATGCCGTGCCATGCTGTGTCTAATTAAGTTGCAGTACTTCCCCATTGAATTAAACATATGCATAAGTTTTATTAAGTTATGCTATTTCAGTTTTATTAATTGATGCTAATTAAGTTGCAGTACTTCCTCATAGTACTGAAGAATAATTTGGATGAAAAAGCGCGCGGGCGAGTTGATCTTGACTTATTAGGGTTTCGATTTCATTGATCAGTCCCCTCATACTGAGCTCTCCGAACAGAGTCAGACTGGAGAAACATTTGTTCTCAATGGCGGATACTCTGAATACGAACAACCAAGCTCTAACCGCCACCAAGACCGTAGACGCTTCACTCTGGTGGGACTCATTTTCCATCTTGCTCACAGAACTCGAAAATGTTTCTTCCTCCTCCGATACTACCTCTTCTCTGGTACTGTATATCATTTCCGCTATGTCAAAAAAATAAAGGGGTTTCCTCTCTTTTCCCTCCCCTTTCCTTCCGAAGACTAACCTTCAAAATCCCCCCCCCCCCCCTCCCTTCGAACTCCCATACATACCCTTAGGGTAGGGGTTTGATCCATCTCTCTTTACTATAACAAAGGTAGCGCAAAAAACTGGGCCGATCAGCAAATCCCCAAAAGATTTACTCAGAATATTAATTGATGCTAATTAATATACTCTGAATACGAACAACCAAGCTCTAACCGCCACTAAGACCGTAGACGCTTCACTCTGGTGGGACTCATTTTCCATCTTGCTCACAGAACTCGAAAATGTTTCTTCCTCCTCCGATACTACCTCTTCTCTGGTACTGTATATCATTTCCGCTATGTCAAAAAAATAAAGGGTTTCCTCTCTTTTCCCTCCCCTTTCCTTCCGAAGACTAACCTTCAAAATCCCCCCCCTCCCTTCGAACTCCCATACATACCCTTAGGGTAGGGGTTTGATCCATCTCTCTTTACTATAACAAAGGTAGCGCAAAAAACTGGGCCGATAAGCAAATCCCCAAAAGATTTACTCAGAACTAAAAGTCTAAAAACATATTCCTTCCAGGCTTCCACAATGGAAACATTTCCTGAAAAAATCCCTTATTAAAACATTGCCAAGCTGCATCTTTGACTTCTTTTTCAAGAGGCAATAGCCTAAATATTGTTTATTATTTTTCGCCTCCTTAAGAAGATGAGGAATGTGTCCAAGAATGGGTTCAAAATCAGATATTGAATCCCTAGAGGAGAGCCTTATGTGGATATAAACCAGTCTCAATTTGTCACGTGATAAATAATGTCTATCAAGTTAGAAGTTGATTGTTAAAATTCTTTTTGAGCATCATTTAATTAAAATGCATACACGATACCTTAAGTATTGATATCGTTGCATTTGGGTAATTGGGTACCCTATCCCTTAATGAAATAAATTAGTGTCATAAGTATACATAAATGTTCAAACCGATAATGTTGTTCAATTTTTATTCCAAAAATTATGCTTGAAAATTAAAATTTCATGCATCGAGTCCACCGTATAGTGATAACATGGACAAAAGTATTGTAAATGGACTTTACATATGAAATTATGTTGGGGAAAACCATGATCCCCCGACCTCTTCCAAGATCACGGGTTCAAAGACTCCTGTACACTCACCCACTCTCACTCTTAATACAAAGGCTCAATCTAACAATATCACTTTTGTATTATACAATTGGAATGTACAAGAGAGATTTACAAGTAAACGGGTAGCTCATTTCACTCTTTGTATATGAGACTACTTCACTCTCACTCTTAAGTATCAAAGAGAAACGAAGATGAACAATGAACAGTTCGTTATTCAATCAACAGAATAGAGAGAGAAAGTGCCTGACAGTTAAAGATATGTCAACTCTCCAGTCCCAGTCAACTACCAAATTACAGCCTGCCTTATTCATCCCTTAGCTATCTATTTATAGAAGTCCAGCCGACCCCCACAACATGATAGCTAACTACTTCTTATTCCCTTTCCTTCTGGAATACACTTTATCATAATAGCTAATACTATTATTATTATCAAGAGGTTGACTTCCCTTGACTCTAACATCACTCCCCCTGGAACTACCACCTTGTCCCCAAGGTGGAAGCCAGGAAATTGCCTCTGAAACTGTTGCAGCTCCTCCCAAGAATCCTCAAACTCTGGCATATTCTTCCAGTGCACCAAAACTTCAACTTTTCCAACTGAGTTAATTCTGCTTTCCTTTACTTCTTCTGGACAGACCTGTAATTCCCATTCTTCCGAGAGACACTTTGGTAAAGGTTGTGTCTGTACAGTAGTAGACACAGTTTTCTTAAGGAGAGATACATGGAACACAGGATGCACTCTACAATCTTCAGGCAACTTCAGCTTATAAGCCACAGGATTGATTTTCTCAATAATCTCAAAAGGCCCATAAAATCTAGGGCTCAACTTCTGATTACTTCTTCTTGCTAGAGTCTTTAATTTGTAGGGTTGAATCTTCAGATATACCCTCTCCCCTACAGACAGTTGGACCTCCCTTCTCTTCTTATCAGCTTGTTGCTTCATTCTGTTTTGTGCATTAGCCAGATTCTGTTTCAGTTCATCTATCATATCATTCCTTTCAGCTCTCAATCTATCCACCTCCTCCACAGCTGTTAAGGCCACATCTCCTCTGATTAAAACTGGTGGATCCTGCCCATATAATACTTTGTAGGGGCTGTTCTTAGTAGACACATGGTAGTTGGTATTATACCAAAACTCAGCCCAAGGTAACCACCTGGGCCACTGCTTTGGTTTCATCCCTGTCATACATCTGAGGTAAGTTTCCACACATTTGTTAACCACCTCGGTTTGTCCATCTGTCTGGGGATGGTAGGCAGTGCTATACTTGAGTTTGGTTCCAGCTAACCTGAATAACTCAGTCCAAAATGAGCTTAGGAAAACACCATCTCTGTCTGAAACTATGGTCTTTGGAAAACCATGCAATCTAACCACTTCTTGTAAAAATGTTTCTGCCACTCCTTTAGCATTATATGGATGTGATAATGCTATGAAGTGAGCATATTTTGTCAACCTGTCCACCACCACTAGAATGGTGTCTTTCCCCATTGCTTTTGGCAATCCTCCAATAAAGTCCATACTCAAATCAGTCCAAATCTGATTAGGAATGGGTAAGGGTTGCAGCAACCCTGCTGGACTTAGTGTTTGATGCTTATTCCTCTGACAAACTTCACAATTTCTAACATAATTCTGAATGTCCTTCCTCATCCCTTCCCAATAAAATAAATTGGAAATTCTTTTCATGGTTTTGAAGCTTCCTGCATGACCCCCCACTGCTGACTCATGAAATTCACTTAGAATTGAACTCCTTCTATCTTAATTCTTGGGAATAACCAATCTGCCTTTGTAATAAAGTAACCCTCTCTGTACTTTGAAATCTGGCACTGAATCTGGTTGTCCCCAAAGTGCTTGGATAATCTCTTTATATTTATCATCTTCCAAGAGCTCCTTTTCCAAGTCCTCCCACTCCTGACAGGTGATGATTGATAGGGAATAAAATCCCCCTTTTCTAGAAAGAGCATCTGCAACTTTGTTTTCCTTTCCAGGTTTGTATTTAATGACAAAATTGAACCCCAAAAGTTTAGTAACCCACTTTTGCTGATCCTCCCCCAATAATCTCTGTTCTGTGAGAAACCTTAAACTCTTTTGGTCTGTGTGCACCTCAAATTTTCTCCCCAACAAATAAGATCTCCATTTCTGTATTGCCAAAACAATTGCCATCAGTTCTCTCTCATAAACTGATTTATTCTGATTTCTGGTTGACAAAGTTTTGCTCATGTAAGATACAGGCCTCCCTTGCTGCATTAATACTGCTCCCACCCCTTTTCCAGAAGCATCTGCTTCTATAACAAAGGTTTTGTTGAAATCTGGAATTTGTAGAACTGGTAGTCTGGTCATAGCTTGTTTCAGTTCTTCAAAGGCATCCATTGCTTCCTGTGTCCACTGAAATCCATCCTTCTTCAGTAGGTTGTTGAGGGGTGCTGCTATCTTAACATAACCTGTTAGTCCCAAGAATCCCCTCAAGCCT